TCAACTCCCAGAATTCCCCAGCCAACCATGCTGGCTGGAGAATTCTGGGAGTTGAAGTCCAGACATCTTAAAGTGGACAAGGTTGAGAAACACTGGCTTAGATCATATATAAATATCACCTGTAAGATGTTCCTGATAGAGCTCAGGTCCTTAAGCAGCCTATATCAATAGGCAGCAGGTCCTTCCATATTTGAGTTTGTCCTGGTCTAGGAGAGTCAAGAGAGAGGCTGGTGCGTTGCCTCTTCCAGGATTGACAAAGGTTTTCTTTGAGCTTCTGAGAAATTCTCCCAATGCCTTTTCTAGCTGTTCCAGAGTCAGCAGCTTTTTTTAAACATGCAGCTGTTCAGAGCTCTGCCTCGAGCTGAAGGGTCTGACTCAGCTCTGTCAGCCTTTCTTCTCTCAGCTAGACACACGCTCCTTGGAGGCTTGTCTTCGACAGAGGAATCTATGTCAAGATGGAGTTCAATGCATCTGGAGGGGAACAAGTGGAAGAAGGCCTGACTTTCACCATGCCTTCTCCATAGCAGTGGAGAGCTGTCTGTTTTCAGACATGTATAAACTGATGCCTTAGGGACCTGGAGGCCTGTGAAGTCCAAAGGTCTTCAAAAGCCCAAGCAAACCATCTTTTTTTTTTTCCCCATGTGACAGAAACAGAAAATTATAAAATGGAATGACAGAGGAGTAATCTTAGCAACTGTACTTGAGTAATTGGCTTCAGAGGCAGTCAAGTCAAGATTTTGTCGTGGCTCTGCCAGCTTCGTGAATTGTAGTCTGTGACATGCTTCTTGGGGGCTGGGGTGGCCTTGGCCCAAACGGTTATATACCCTTCATCTGTTTTGACTATGGGCAGCTTTTAAGATGCTGTTTATTGCTGAGGTTGCATTATTTATTCATGAAATAATGCAACGGCTTCCACACGGCTTCTAATGACAAAGAATCCGGAAGCGGTTGACAAAATCCTAAATCCTAGAAACGTTTGAGAAGAGCAAAAAACTTTTAGAACAAAGAACCAAAGTGAAGGCTGGGGAAAACACCACAATCAAAGCAACTATCTTCATCAAGAGCCATACACTGGAACTCTGTGGGACTTGCTTTGGAACAGATATAAATAGGTCTAGATGTGTGCTGATCCTTTATAAAGACCCAACCCCTACATGGTTCATATGTCTCTATCAATATCTGGGGTGGGGGGGTCTGGAGAGGCCACGAATCTCAAGATGGCAACCCCAACCAAGCCACTGAATCCCCGCCCCTTTTTATGTGTGTCATTTTGTTGCATGGATGTGTAAAAAATAAGGAAGATGGCCTTGACAGAGATCTGCAGGCACCATTATGTAGGCAAATGGGGCTGAAACATTTTTAAAGTCCAGAGCAAGGAGATAACATTTGGAAGGGGCTCAGGCTGACTCCTCCTTGATTCACAGACGTCTAAGAAAGAGGAGGAGGTCCAGCACCATCAGACTCACAAGACTCAGTAGAAGTAGTTTTAGCCTTCCTGTGGAGTTGATCGCCAGGTCTGGTCTACCCAGTGGGGCTGAAAGGATGTGGCTGCCATCTTGACTTGACCTCTTCTATGGACATCCCTGTCCTGGGGATTCTCCACATCACCTCCATCTTTTGCAATGCGCTTGGCGTACTTCAAGTTAATTCTCAGCCTTTTCCAAATCAAAGGTAGCCAGAAATCAAAATAATCCAGATACTGCATGTGGGTTGGGCATCTCCACAGATGCCCAAGATGAACTCCCCCCTCCCTTAGGGATGACATAGTCTTGTAACTGAAGGATCCTTTTTTATTAGAATTCCCCATTACTAACTTTTGGAAAGAGATGCACAAAAGAAGATGCTTAGAGAACTAATGCAGGCCTGTACCTTATAAACTCAACCCTACCTAAACAACAAGGAATCTAACATTTGAGGACCTTTTTTAAAAATTCTAACTGCTTAAAATATGTCAAACTAACCAAGAGAAGTATATACATCTAAATATGTTAACGAAGAGAGCCAGTTTGGTCCAGTGGTGAAGGCCCCAGGCTAGAAAGCAGGAGACGGTGAGTTCTAGTCCTGCCTGAGGCAGGAAAGCCAGCTGGGTGACTTTGGGGTAGTCCCTCTCAGCTCAGCTCACCTCACAGGATTGTTGTTGTGGGGAAAATAGGAGGAAGGAGTATTAGCTACGTTTCCCACCTTGAGTTATTTATTAAAATAATAAAGGCAGGATAAAAAATCTAAAACAAAAAAAAGTAAAATCGCTCACTTCAGCGCCTACAGATCATGGGTATTATTCCAACTTTTGGCTTTGTCCTAGAAATTATGTTTGAACTCTGCCAGGCCAGTAACACTGAACATGAATCCTGATGAGGAACGCTAAGGATGAAAGTTATGTGATCATCATCAGGTTAATCATGGCGCAAAATACAAACTGAAGCGCAAGGAGGCAGTTTTACTTGCTATTCTTAAATTATTGGGTGTCTGAAAATCCTTCCTGATCCACTGCAATCCAGGGCATGGGGTTTTCCTGGAGGCCCTGCTCCAATTTGCCCCCCTCCCCCACATTTCTGCTTTAGCTCACATCCACACCAGTTGCTTTCTCACGACTGACTTATAGCATCTTTCAACCATTCTTGCAGTGTTTCTCAACCTTGGCAACTTTAAGATGCGTGGACTTCAACTCCCAGAATTCCCCAGCCAGCATGGCTGGCTGGGGAATCCTGGGAGGTGGTCCACGCATCTTAAAGTTGCCAAGGTTGAGAAACACTGCAAGAATGCTGGGAGTTGGTCCACGCATCTTAAAGTTGCCAAGGTTGAGAAACACTGCAAGAATGCTGGGAGTTGGTCCACGCATCTTAAAGTTGCCAAGGTTGAGAAGCACTGGTTCTTGCAATGGGGACAGGCTTCCTGTCCCTTTCACCATGGTTCAAGGATGCTGGATGTCTCCCCTTCACTTTCACTGTGCGCAGAGCGGGGACATAAACAGGGGCGAAAGCAAAGCCAGTCCACGGAGACCTGCTTCTGAAGCCCTCGTCCTCGGCCAGCTTTCCCCGCGCACCAGGTGCCCGCTTCGATGTGCTTTTCCCTCCCAAGGTCGATCTGAAGTCCTCCGTCCCGGCCCTCAACTTCTTTCATTCCACAGCATCTTTGAGGGCGTGGGTGGGCGGGTACCTGGGTTGGAGAGATGGGAGCGCGGGGGAGGCGCGCCCCGGCCGTATTTCTCTTGCCACGAAAACCACAAAATGTTGGGGGGAGAGGGGAAAAAAGTCCTTGAAAGTCTTCGGCCTGCGCGCGGGTCCGGGCTGCTCCCTCCATCCTCTGGCGAGGAAGCGGAGCGCTGCCGCGTCCTTGAACGGAGGCGCAACGACCTTGCTTGTCTTCCCGGAGGTTGGATGGGGCGCGGGAGGAGGGGAGAGAAACGGGCGCAGGGAGAAGGGATCGCGAAGTCCGGCCGAGCGCAGAGCAGGCGGCACAGGAGCCCCCTCCCTCC